ATTGATTTTCATACAAAAAACTTGGGTTATAGAATGTTTTTTTGCATTTTTAAATTACAATATTTTATTTTTATTTAAAAAAGTTGTTTTAAGCTTAATCAATTTAAAATACAAAGACTTTTTGAAATTTTTACACTATATTTTGACAAAATTGTATAACAAATTGTGTTTAATTATTTTTAACTACAGTATCACATTCTATTACAACAAATTGTCACTAAATGTTAAGTTTTCACTATTACGAGGTACGTTAACATTTTAAACCCTAGAGAACAGTTATACATCAGATAGTGTCGCGGGCGTCCGCACATGCACATAAAAACCTTTATGGCACAACAAATGAAATATTACTCCGCCTAACCAACACGTAGTCTTTGATGGGGCATGCGCCTCGGTAACTGCATAACTCAATTTGATGGAAAACCTCGCTTTTACGCCGGCATTAACTCTCGCTAACTAGAGCCTTTATTCAAATAAGGATCCGGTTTTTAGTCTTTGGTGCGAAAAGCGAACATATTATTTCAATATTGCTAAATTGTAGCTTAAATTTTCATGATGGGTTTTTGAATGTCGTCTGAAAATGGTCATATTACGAAAAATTTCATTAAAATAGACTAACGTATTGTATGATGTCATTGTGATGTTAACTAAAGGTGTATTTTGTGTAAATGTCATTGATGTCTTTGAAAAAACTAGATGCCTTAAAAACAGAGATTTATCGTTAAATCCTAGAAATTTGTCAGTTTTTTAGGAACCAAAGTTGCAAGTCTAATCTAATTTATTTTCTCTGAAATTAAACCCCTCCGTGTAAACCAGTTTTGTGAAAGATCTGGATCATATAAGTACAGTAGTTACATTTTTTTTTAAATAGGTCTATAACATGAATTTGTTGTACATAAAAAAATAAGTTAGTGAAAAACTTACCGTACCACTAAATAAGAGTATTTGTTTTTTTTTCAATATTTTGTTTACTACAACATTAAGAAACCATCTTCAAATTAAATCCATCTAACCAGGGATCATACTAACATTTAAACAAGATCATAATGTATGTTGTAATTATAAATACAAAGGACGTGTTAGCTTAATTGGCACCTCAGGGCTGTGTAGATGCTGGGAACATCTTTGACTATTCACGAGGTTGACTGGTTAAAACATTAAAATCTTAGAACAATAATATTGTGCCACTTTTGTATACTCGAAGTATGGGTTTTGAAGCGTGTTTTCCTGATGATTAATCAACACAAAGATTTATCAAAGTATTAAAAACGTTACTATTTATATCACATACCTTTAGTTAGTAAAAATAATAAATTTGAGGTTGATGATTTTCTTAAAAGTTAGCATTAGGTCAAGTAGTAAATATGTTTCCTCTTCTGACTCTGTCAAACTTCTGACTCTTTTTCAAACTACAATGCACAATACAATCATATTACTTTATTATTGTAAACTTATGTATTTCTCTGGTAATAATGCAAAAGAAAACCCCTGCAGGACAAAATTTGGTATGTTAAGATAGCTGAGTTGCAGTTGTATAGATGAGTTGTAGTAAATGTTTCAGGCCTTGCAACTATAGTCAGTATGATGGAACCTGTCTTCTGACCCTCAGTCTATCTAGGGACTGGTCAATGGGTTTATAGACCAATCCCAGGTTGAGACGGATTCCATCACGCAGACTATAATTATGGTATGAGGGTGAAACAAGTGTTGCGAAGCTATTTTACATTTCAATTTTGAGATTTGCGAGTCGTCAAGCACTAAACTTAAAAAAAGGCATTGAAAATTTACTGTACATTTTTTGTAACAAAAACAATGACGTCAGAAATAATGTATAGGCCTATGGAGTAACTAGTATTACACTAAATAACAAATTAGTAATATCACCGCTCCACAGAAACTAATAGAGAAAAACCCACTGGGGTCAGCAAAAACTGTGATATGATACACAGAAAATTAGTTTTCTGAAAGAATGAGCGTTGCAGAGGAAGTTGCCAGAGACTTATGAGAGTTTTCCGTTTTCCGTTTCATCCATGAACTGTTCTTCAACTCTGATAACTTTGGCACTAACACTCGCTTGAGCGACAATGTGTGCTGTTCATTGTTGTAATGAATAATTACTTGTCAACCTTAACCTGTTAATTTTTTGTAGTAATTAAAGAAATCCATAATTTTATCCTATAAGTGATTTTAGATCCAGATGCTTAAAAATCTAAATGTAATTAAAAGTTATATATTTTGCAAATAGTGAACCATTTTAGTTTTCACGGTTGGCAAAACGTGTATCTTATTATTTAAAAGTTTCAATCCCAACAATTAAAATACGTATTTAACTATCAAACAGATTTCGATTTGGAGCAAACTTGTATTACAAAACTATAATTACAGTCTGATTTAAAACCTTTTTCGAACAAATCCAAACACCAATGTGTGGAAAATGATTACAGATTGTTTTTGTTTAAACCGCGTACGAACGCAATTTCAAGCTAAAGCTCTAACCTAGCCTAGAATCTAAACGATTCTCATAAGCAGAAAAAACGATCAATTAAAAACATAAAGCATTCCATCACTTTGCACTCAGAATCCGATGTGGAATATTAATCCATTAATGTGTTGTGTATAACCCGATTGAAACGAAATATTATTTACTGAAAACCTTTGCGAAGTCGTTTGAATTGCTACAAAAGATCAATTTATTTTTATTGTACTTTGTATTTAATATAGTGATTATTGTGAAATATAATTATTTACATAATTGAAAAAGAGTTATGGATATTTGTAGCTCAAGCTCAAAATAGATAATTAATTATTATTAAAGTCATTAAATGATAAAAATAAATGGGACATTTTTTTCTATTCAAGTCAACGAAAAGGAAAAGCAGCATGTTTAAAAATCGTGATTGGTTATTAAACCTAATGTGTTTGGTCAATGCAGTATAATTATCTTAACGTTTAATGTAACAATATATGTTTTACCTCAGATTTAACTTTTTTATGGTTATTTGACTGTAACCCACACATTTCAAAATTAATGTACTGTTCTCTTCAGATTTTGTTTTTGCTGAATGTAATTAAAAACAACAATTAAACGTAATTTATTTCAAACTAATTAAAGTACTAAAGTAGTTTGAGTGTTTTCAACATATAAAAATTTCCAACAATGTGATTCGTACCTAAAATAAATGTATTTGCCACCGTTTTATTATAACCGTTTTATATTATATTGTGTTTATTTGTAATCAATTATTGATTTTCATACAACAAACTTGGGTAATAGAATGTTATTTTTGTTTTTTTTTAAACTACAATATATTTTTTTTTTTAAGTTTTTTCAAACTTAACCAAAATAAAATACAAAGACTTAACAAGGTTTACAATATATTTTGACAAAATTGTATAAAAAATTTTGTTTAATTATTTTTAACTACAGTATCACATTTTATTACAACAAATTGTCACTAACTGTTAAGTTTTCACTGTTACGAGGTACGTCAACATTTCAAACCCTAGAGAATAGTTATACATCAGATAGTGTCGCGGGCGTCCGCACATGCACATAAAAACCTTTATGGCACAACAAATGAAATATTACTCGGGCTAACCAACACGTAGTCTTTGATGGGGCATGCGCCTCGGTAACTGCATAACTCAATTTGATGGAAAACCTCGCTTTTACGCCGGCATTAACTCTCGCTAACTAGAGCCTTTATTCAAATAAGGATCCGGTTTTTAGTCTTTGGTGCGAAAAGCGAGCATACTAATTCCATATTGCTAAATTTAAACTTAAATTTTGGTATTTTGAATGTAGTCTGAAAATGGTTACATGATCAAAATATTACGTTAAAATAAACTAATGCATGGTATCTTGTCACTATGATGTTAATTAAAGATGTATTTTGCGTAAATGTCAAATGTGTGCCATAAAAAAAACTAGATGCCTTAAAAACAGAGATTATTGTTAAATCTTTTTTTAAAGTTTTTTTTTAGGAACCAAAGTCGCAAATCTAATCAACATTATTTTCTCTGAAATTAAACCCCACCGTGTAAACCAGTTTTGTGAAAGATATGGATCATATAGTTTGTTAAATGTTGAAATGAATTAAATGAAATGAATGAAATAGGTCTATAACATATATTTTTTTCATTAAAAATAAGTTAGTGAAAAACTTACCGTACTACTAAATACGGGTAGCAAAAGTTTTTTTTTCAATAAATATTTGTTTTATTTTTTTAAGAAACTATTTTCAACTTTGAATCCATCTAATGAGAGTTTCTTACATTTGAACAAGATCATAATTTATGTTGTAATTATAAATGCAAAGGACGTGTTAGTTTAATTGGCACCTCTGGGCTTTGAGGATGCTGGGAACATCTTTGACTATTCAGAAGGTTGACTGGTTAAAACATTAAATGCTTAGAACAATAATATTGTGCCGCTTATGTATACTCACAGTGTTGGGGTTTTGAAGCGTGTTTTCCTGATGTTCAATCAACACAAAGATTTATCAAAGTATAAAAAACGTCGCTATTCATATGACAAACCTTTAGTTGGTAAAAATAATGAATTAGAGGTTGATAATTTTCTTGAAAGTAGTAGTAGGCCTAGTAGTAAATATGTTTTCCTCTTCTGACTCTAGCATTGAAAAAGATTATATGTTATAACATTTTTAACATCGAAAATTGCAATGCACAACAATTAATATAAAGAAGCAGGAAATATTGATAAAAATTCTACCATAGATAAGGTCTTAATTTTATAACATATTACCTCGTACCTTTAAATGTCACCTTAACGATTGTTAGTATTATTCCTTACTTCGCATGTGACATACACTCCAAAATAAACACACACACACATAATGTGTTGGTTTAGGAAGAAATATGCATAGTTATTTAATGTATATAAAAAGTCGTTTACTTACAAACATTTTATTTTTACATTCCACATAGTGTACACCTTCTTCTGTCAGTATTTCTTTAAACATGACATTTTTCTGTTCCAGGAGTACCAACTAGCTGCGAATCAAACAGGTAAATAAAACAAACTTTTAATTAAATGTTACGTATCACACAAAGCTTATAAAAATCAACTCTCCCATAGTGAAAACGTCCTTCACCCAACAAAACAAATTCACCCAGAAGATTCGTTGTATACGTAACTTTTCCATGTTCAGACTTTCCCGCTTATAGAAACATGCTTTCCAATATTTCTGCTTGGAAATGCTCAGATGCTTTTAGTATATTGAGGGTTAAAGTGGTCGGGATGGGTTTTGACAATCAACATAATCCCCCTCTGCCCCCCGTTCGTCGTAAATCATCCAAAAATCCACATCCACCTCGGGGTGTGGCTTAAAGTGGGGTTAAAATGTTCTTTGCATTTGTTAGGTCAAGTATGTTGAATAGAATTTTTTGTAATTCCTTGTGATTTTGAAAGTAATATATTTATCATACTCTTTGTAACAAAAAGACTATGGGAGAGTTAAAAGTCAACAATGTTTTTGAAAATCTTTGCCATTGTAAAACAAGGCGTCCCAAAGATGAGATTATTTCAAATGTGAATTTTTTTTTAAAGTTTTGGTAATTAAGGGAAGATAGTAAAACAAGTTATGATGTATCTAACTCAAAATTCATACTTCAGTGGAAGCTGTTTAAAGTCATGTTGATGTATAAACTGTATTTCATTCCCTGGTACATTATTGAAACGTTAAAAACGATTGAAATTTTATAAGATAAGGCATCAGTGTTGAAGACGAATCTTTCCTAAGAGAGTTTTTTTTTTGTCGTAACATACTTTCAACAATTAAACTCTCTTTAGCCTCATTTAGCTTAAATTATAAAATATATTTTTTGACACCATATGATCTAAAATTTTTTTAACGGAAAACTTTTGCTGTCCAATACGATAACATATCATACAATTCAAACCCAAAACAAGCCCACTTGCCAGTAATGTTATTGCCCGGTGACATTGGGTAATTACGTAGGGGCGAGGTGAATGCAATAACGTACCTCTAATCAATCCTGTAGGGAGTTCGAAGTGTGAGTCACTTCAAATAATTACCCTTCTCCCCCTCCCTGCGTAAACTCCCCCTATGTGCCCAGAGACAGCTGTCGTACAGGCGAATCGTCTCATTAATCTTATTTCTACATATCCGGGTATCAATTAAAACATTTTCTTATATAGGAAAAGGTGTATAGTAAAATAACAACTGTTACTTGAATAACACCAAGGACTAAACTGTTACTTTATTGGGGATACCATAGAGTAATCGTTCATACCAGTTGAATATGTTGAAATAGCTGGGATTACATTTGGGCTACTTCAATCCAGTGTATTAAAGTTAAGTGTTTCAATATTGCACTTCGTGAATTTACCCTCCCCCCTTTGTTTTATGGGATTTAATACATTAGTAGATTAAAATAATTACTTTTAAATAAACTTATTGCTCTCATGTTGATATTTTAATGACTTTCCATGATTTAAAATCACTGTAGTGTGTTTATACTTTTTTCTATCTTATACTTACAGTAATCAATACTTACAGTAATACTTACAGTATTACCATAGCAAAATTATGATTATGTTTATGAAATTAGTAAAAATATGATTTCAAAATGTAGCCTATGCAGGGTAGGATTATATAACAGCAGTTTTCTAATGCAATTGGTATTTATTGAGATTTAAATTAAAATCTGTGTTATTAGGTGGATACTACAATTTTCGTGGTTCAATTTCAGCTGGACATAATTATATAATATACATACTGATTTTCAATGCATAAATTTGACACTCACGTCCAATATGTGAAATAGTGAAGTATGAAGGTGAATGAAGCCTAAAATCTTCATAAAGTATGAAATAGGTCAACATAATCATAAAACTATTTTTATGCATTCTGGATTCCAATTTGCCATATTCTCCAGCCACGAGTTACTAAACAACTAAAACACCTACATGAAAATATAAAAATTGTAAAATCTCTTTATGAAAAACATTTTAAAATTATACATTACATTGTTTGTAGGAAATTGAATGTTTGCCGTAAATTATTGATTAGTTTGCATACAAATTTGCATACTAAATAATCGAACTGCAGCTTCAAACACACCTAATTATCCAGATTCGTCAACGAGTCCGCGTTAGTTTCGGTAATCATCTCCCCACACTTCCAATTATTTACCGATCACGGTTTTAATCCATGGCCAAAATTGCTTTTACACGGAAAATTCATTTATTTGTAAAACTTTACACTAATGAGATAAGCTTTGTAAAACTATGAGTTATAATTAAACGGAAAACATGTAATGAAATGTAACTATTAATTATGGGATTGGTTTAATTGTACACCTTTTATGTTCAAAGAGCCTTCTTATTTAACGGTAAATAACATAAAAATATGTGTATGTGTCTCAGTTTAGTTTTATGTTAACTCTTCAATATAAATAGTAAATTTAAAACACAAGAAGATTGAAAACAATGTGATGTAAAGAGTTAAATGTAGATCCATTTTAGGCCTAACCTCCAGCATTAATTTGCAGATATCTTGAAGGGAAAAACGAGTTTAAATCCAATATGAGTAAGGAATAAATATTCATTAAATTAGTTCTTGAAAATGTTAAAGGAGGGTATAATAGCTTCACGGGTGGCTATAGGTAGTAAGAGGCAAGCGATCATCGAGCTAATACACAAAAGCCGTACTCATTAATGATAGTTTACTCTCCAACAAGAAAAATACTTATATTGCAGCATAGACAAAAATTCGTTTTGTCTATGATTGCAGTAATTATGATCAAGTTTAAGGGTGTTTGTATAAATCTATGGTTTTAAAGTTTTTTTAGTTTACACCACTCGATGTTAAAAAAACTGCAGCACAAGTTGACTAGAATACGTATGTTTCGTATACGGTCCGAGATAACAGATACAATTAATTTAAACTGAAAAAAAATAATGGAAACATTTTTATAATTTTAATTAAATTGGAAATAATTATGTTAAATAATAATAATTTAAAATAATATAAAATTTAATAAAAATATTTTAGCCTAATATTATTATTAAATAAACTCTTTTAATATTCAAAATTAAAATTAAAATTAATTTTAATTTATCTAAATTTTTATAAATTTAAATTTATATTTTATATATTGAATTTTATTTATTACAAAAAAAAATATATTTGTTTAATATTAATATTTAATAATTTAATTATATTAATTAAAATAATATTACAAAAATAATTTAAAATTAATTTTAGTTTTAAGACTGTTAACGGCGCCGACTGATGTGCCGTCCTGTTATATCAGCTGTTTAAACTAGAAAACGTCGCCGCACTGAGTGTACACCCCAGGCTTTGGCCCTTCGCCAAACTATTGACACTTTTTCCCGTCACGTTCTATATTGCCTACTGGGACACACTTATTTAATCTATTTCCGCTCCTGGGAAGTTTCTTACACCAATTACAAGTCTTATTGAAGCCATGCTGATACATTTTAAACACCTTCAAGTGCCGATGCAAACAAAACGTTTTAATGCAAATACAATAGCATGGGATTTAAAATTACTAAATGTTGAAGCCTAGAATAAATATTTTACATTGTGAACAACTTATTAGGCTTATAGATAATAATTATGCAAATTTTATAACGATAAATAGTGAATATTGTCACGAAGAACGTTAATTATTACTAAACAATAGCATAACATTATGTTAACAAAAAGGGTCGAAACTTATCTCCAATTTTTTAAAATTATTGTTTTTTTTTCTGTGTGGGGTCTTTAATACAGGTTCCTCACCTATAGTACCTTAGTATTGGGTTTACTTAATACATTGACCTACGAAAATGTAGGTTTTTAAATCCACGACAGTAGCACACAGTGATTAGTGTTAGATGAGATTTAAACCTTGAACTTCTTGATTCAGGATAAGTCCACCATTGTATCCACTAGATCAGTGAAGGTCCTTTTTTCACAAAACAGAATAAATAAAGCTAAGTAAGGTTTGATCACTTAAATGATTTTAAATTTTCATCTGCATCAGTTTAGTAATTATTCAGTTAAATTTCATTAATTACTTTTCACTTAAAGTACACTATATTAACTACCTCTTAACTGAAGTTCACCATATTAATATCTAAATCATATGTTATCCCCTCATAAATAGCTAGGTACACATACCATATTCCTGTCACGTATATTCAGTCTGCGAGCTGCACCTGGTTCTCCCTAAAGATTCTCTAGGATTTTCACATACTTAGCAACTCAAAAGCGTCCATCCCTGAATAGCAAACAGTCTAATGTTTTCAACCCCGTTTGCTTCACATCAATCTAGGTTATTTTTTATATATTTGAGAATGGTTTATAATTGGTGTGTCATTTACATTATTCCGTACGTATACATATGATTGGTCTTAGAGCTTGTTTACTAAACAGACATACGATTCACATCAAACATGCGATTTGGCTTTTGTTATTTTTTTATCCAGCATGAGAACATGTTCTCGGATATTTCTATTTATAAAACAGCGAACCAAACAATAAAGTTATTGACCTCGAGATTTAGCTAGTACTAATTAGTTATTTTAATCACACTTTAGAAAACAAAGAGTCCATTTTGTAAACTTACAGGTATAAAAGTCTCCACGATATTTTCGTTACAAGCCAAAGTTACGGGAAAGATTGACTTAGGAGAACGCACAAACTGAGTTTTCAGTTTCTCATTTCTTACCTTCCATAAAATCAGAAAGTTGTGAAACTTTTCGGCAATTTCGTTCCATGAGCCATCAGTTTGAAAGAGCTCATTTAGAGAAAGTAGTTTATTTATGGTATTGTAAACTTTGTAAATGCCAACTTAACGCCAGGGCTTAACGGAAAATTGTTTAAATAAAGTTCTCGGGCCACCGGGATTGCGCCACTAGGGCCAGGTAGACACCGGCAAAGTGCCACTGTCAATCTACCCCACTAACTGACCGTAATTGCGCCAATGTGGCATTTATTCAAATTCAGGAAAAAAACTTCAAGTGGAACTTTAGT